TGCATGTCTGAGGAGACTGATGTGCTCAATACTCTGATTTGACTATTATACAATGTACAAAACATATCAAATCACCACACTAAGTGTCACACATTAGTACAATTAGTAACATGTCAATTAAAAATGAGACACAAAAAGAAAACAGCATATATGGGGGCTATTAGGACATTCTGACTTCAGATTCCTTGCAGAGTAAGGGTTTTCAGAACTCTGCCTTGTTCACCCCATTATCAAATAATGCCCATTTAAGAAAGACATTACTAAGAAAAGACAGCTTCAAACACTAAAAATATCTCATTCTTTTTTTTGGCTGGCACTGATGTTTCAACTCAGGGCCTTATGATTGCTAGACAAGCACTTTATCACTTGAGCCACTATGCCAGCCCTCTTTTTGTGATGAGTTTTTTTGAGATAGGGTCTTGTGAACCATTTGCCCAGATCTTTCTTCGAAATGCAATCCTCCTCATCTCTGCATCCTGAGTAGCTGGGATTACAAGCGTGAGCCACCAGCTCCTGGCTTATTTATGCTCTCAATTGTATACAATATTCCCTTTTTGGGGGTACAATTTTGCAGGTGGTAGCGGTACTGGGATTTGATCTCAAGGCTTCAAGATTGCTCGGCAGGCCCTCTACCACTTAAAGACATGCCCACAAACCCTATTCTGCTTTAGTCATTTTTCAGCTCAGGTATTGCTTCATGCATAGGGCCAACCTGGGGTCAAGTTTCTTCACTATGAAGGAACTGTGTAGCTAGATTTACATATGTGTCCTGTTATACCCAACTTATTTGCTGAGATGGGGTCTTCCTATCTTTTCCCCTGGGCTGATCTTTAACTGCAATCCTCCTAATCCCCACCTCCCAAGTAGCTGAAACTACAGGAATGTGCCTCCCATACAGTCCTACAGTGTTCTTTTCAAGCTATTCTCAATTCTCAGTAACCCTAGGCCATCACTTAGATATAGCATATTTAGTATGCATGAAGCCCTGGGTTTGATCCCATGCAACTCCAACAAGAAAATGTTAGGACTGGAGGCAGCTCAGCGGAAGAACGCCTGCCTAGCAAGCATAAAGCCTTGAGTCCAAACCCTAGGACTGCCTCCCAAAAAACAAGACAAAATTCAAAATGAAAGCTGTGGTCATGCCCAAGTGACAGACTGCTTGCTTAGCTTGAGGGAGGCCCTGGGTTCAGTTCCCGGTACTGCAAAAACAAAAACAAGATGCAGTGTACAAAATACACAGACAAAAATTTAATGGAAGCTGAATGTGGTTGTTTTCTCAGAACAAAGGTACATTAAAAGTAATAAAAGTACTTTATCAAGAAATAGCTGGGTGTGGAAGTGCACACCCATGATCCCAGCACTCAGGAGGCTGAGGCAGGAAGATCCCCAGTTCAGGTCCCACCTGGACTACACAGTGAGACTCATCTCAAAAAAGAGGAGGGGCAGCTGGAAGAGGCCATGGATTCAACCCTCAACACACATGTGCGAGCAGGTAATTTCTTTTAGCTAACACAGAAACTTTACTTAAATTATATTCCAGGATATTTAATTCAATTAATTGACCCTCATTTCATCTGTTTGTTTTTTAGGTCAGGGTCTGGCCATGCAGACCAGGCTGGCTTTGAGCTCACAAGCCACCCACACACACCATGACGAATGGCTGTTCTCATTTCATCTTGTAATTTCTGTTCCTACTATTAACTATAAAAGTCAGATGATAAGCCAATTGGTTTGTCTCAATACACTTACTCCTGTATTAAATATGAAAGCAGTCATGAGATTTATATAAATTAACGTTTTTATTTCTGATTTCTTAGATGAATTTTTTTTTTCTTCAGTACTAGAGACCAGGGCCTTGCCCAGGCTAGATAAGGTCTCTATCACTGAGCTATATTCTGAGCATTTTAATTCACCTTAAAAGTCGAGTAAAAGACTTTCAAACCCTAGTACCAATTCTCCCCCCCAAAAAAACCCCAAATATTACCTTTACCAATTACACTACATCCCAAGGATTTTCCATAAATTTTATGCACTACAGCTGCAATTTCAAGGTTTTTTTTTTTTTCCCTCAACAAAAACAGTACATTTGAAGTAACACAAGCATTGTATCACAAAATAGCAGGACACGACGGTGCCCACCTATAACCCCAACACTGAGAGTGCGTCAGGAGGAATAAGAGCTTCAAGTTAGCCTGGGTTACAAAGTGAGACCCTGTCTCAAAAAAACAAAATAAAAACAGATAAATAGACAAATAAGAATTTCTCTTTTTCAACTTCCTTTCAGCATTTTCAATTAAATAAGTTGCTTCTAAGTGAAAAACTAATGTTAATTTTTAGGCATCTGACAGTTACTGAACTTCCTAGTGTCCTTCCTAGACATCAGGCAGTAATTATTTGCAATGCCTGGGGAACAGAAACCCTGTGATTCAGTACTTTCCTGTCCTGTTTTCATTATATAAAGTGAGGGTAGGTCACGCTGTGATTCAGGGGCACACAACTTGAAGGAAGTTAAAATCATTTAATTGCTTTATTATATTAAAAATTGTCAAAAAACCCCCAAAAGACAAAAAACAAAACAAAAATCTTGTCAGGCATGGTGATGCATGACTGTAATCCTAGCACTCCGGAGGCTGAGGTAGTAGGACTGAGCGACAGCCTAGCCTACGTGGTGAAACTGTTTAAAAACAAAAGCAAAAATCCCACAAAAGAACCCCTGTAACAGTACTAAAAGCCTGTCCGCTCCTAACTACTTACATAAAAAACTGAATTCTTTTTTTCTTTTTAACCCATTCCTGGTGGGACTGGGATTTTTTTAACTCAGGGCTTCACTCTTGGCTCTACCTCTTGAGCCACACCTCCAATCTGACCATTTTAGAGATGGGGTCTCGAGAACAATGTGTCTGGGCTGGCCTCAAACTATAATCCTTTCGATCTCAGCCTCCTAAGAAGCCAAGATTACAGATGTGAGTCACAGGTGCCTGGCTATGAATCCTGTTTTTCTTGTCATCAATGCTATTCAATGTAGGCTATCTGAAATATTTAAAACTTTTCTCTTGAAAAAAGATATACGCTGTGATGACCAATAAAAGCATGGCAAGGTTTTGGGTATAGCTCAGTATGTACAGGGCAAGGTTTGATCCCTAGCACCCAGAATCATACAGACCTACACACACACACACACACACACACACACACACACACACACACAACATACAAATACAATATGTTCACGTGCAGTCCCAGCTGAAGCAGGAGAACTGGGCCTGAGGTCAGCCTGGAGACTCTGCCTCTCTCACACACAGGGACTGGAGATGGAGGTCAGTCTTAGGACACTTGCCTAACATGTATGAAGACCTGGACATGAGCTACTATAATGAAAAAAAAAAAAAAACAAGAGAAAAGAAAAAAGCAAAAACAGCAGCTAACATGATGGTACACATCTGTGACCCCAGTATTTGGAAGACTGTAATCAAGAGCAGCCTGATTACATAGTGGGACTGTATCAAAAAAAAAACAAAAAACCAGAAACAGCCAGGCACCAGTGGCCCACACCTATAATCCCAGCTACTCAGAAGGCAGAGATCAGGAGGATCGTAGTTCCAAGCCAGCCCTGGGTAAACAGCTCATGAGACCCTATCTCAAAAATAACCAGCACAAAAAAGGGCTCACAGAGTGGACGTGCCTGCCATCCCAAGCTACACAGGAGGGTGAGAACTGGAGGATCGTGGTTTCAGGCCAGCCCTGGCGAAAAAGGTTGAGCAACCTCATCTCAATCAATAAAAGCTGCTTGTGGTGGTGTGCACTTGTCATCCCAGCCATGCTGGGAAGCATAAATAAGAGGAGTGTGGTTCAGGTCATCCTGGGCAAAAAGTAAGATCCTAACTCCAAAACAGCCAGAGTAAAAAGGGCTAGAGGAGTAGCTCAAGTGGTAGAGAGCCTGCCTAGCAAGTGTGAACTCCTGAGTTCAAGCCCCATTACTGCCAAAAAACCAAAAACTCCACAAAATACAAAAAAGAATATATTATAAATATGACAAAAGTATATTGGCAGTTATAATTAATGGGTGAAGCACTATAATAAATACAGTAGAAGGGTGCTGGAGGTGACTCAAGTGGTAGAATGCATGCTTAGCAAGTGCAAAGGCCTGAGTTCAAACTCCCACACTGCAAAATAAATAAGTAAATAAATAAATAAATATGTTCAAAAGCCAGTAACTATATAGCATATCGTATGTTAGGAATGCTTATTCAAATTTTACACATAAAGCTCAGGAAGGTAAATAACTTGCCTGGAGCTATTTAGGGACCGCTGTTAGGTTTCTATCTGCTGGTGAGAATTGGACTGAAATCCATCACAAGAAAATGGATTCTTTCAAAAAAAATTAAACTTGAGTGACACCAGTGGCTCACACCTATAATCCTAGCTATGTGGGAGGCAGACATCAAGAGGATTGTGGTTCAAGGCCAGCTTGAGCAAACAGTTCATGAGACACTAAAGTTTGTGAGACCCTATCTCAAAAATACTTAATACAAAAATGGGCTGGCAGAGTGGCTCAAGTGGTAGAGTGCCTGCCTGCTTAGCAAGTGCGAGGCCCTGAGTTCAAACCCTTTTCTAGTTTAGTGTTCAGAATACTGAAAGCTTGGGTTGGATAACCTGTGATAGACAGAAATCAGGTGTACCATGACTGACACACTTCAGACCTAACACGGGTTTTAAACTACTGAGTCTCAACGTCTTCACCTAAAACTGGGAAAGACAACAGTGCTCACCTTCCAGTGCTGATGGGCTGACCAGAGGGTATGGATGTGCAACACGCAGCACAGCAAGCTCGGAAAACGATTAAGAGTGCACTGCAACGTGCAGCACATACACATTCTTTAGAATACATTCCCACGTGTAACAGGCTACTTAGAACATATGACCAATTTAAAGGGTAAATAAATTTTGCCTAACAATTTTCCCAAAAAGTGAACCCACTTTGTACACGTGAAGGAGCTCACCTTTTGGGTCGAGGCAGGCCCATTGGGGTAAGATTAGGATCTGGCTTAGGAATGGTTTTCCGGATGCGAATCTGTGAGACTTTCTTTGGCCTATTCTCTGGCTCAGCCTGTTTGTAGAGTTCAGAAGAAAGACGGGCAAAATGTAAGACATTTTAAACAAAGTCCCCTTTCCCGAACTCAAGACATTGTTTCCTCAGTTTACAGACAATTCTAATGAGCAGCTTATGGCAAAGCCCCCCCTCCTATTCCAGTTGTGTTTTCAGCAACTACCCCCTTCATATTATTAATACAATTGTACATTCAGGTCAGATATTGGGATTATCGATATGAAAGTCTACAAACAGTGAAGACAGCAAATGTTGAAAAACTGAAGAACACCCCCCACTCGCTCATCTTCTGTGAATGCATTAAAGCAGTTCTTTGGTTTAAGTCTCTATAAATGTTGTTAAAGGTTGTCACCAAGAAAAAGAGATCACGAACACAATGCAGATCAAGAAATCCAAGCTTGGTGGCACAAGCTCATGGTTACTAGCTACTGGAGGCTCATGGTTACTAGCTACTGGAAAGACTGAGGCAAGAAGATAGATAACTTGAGTTTAGGAGATCCAGGTCAGCGTGGGTAAAATAGCAAGATTCTGTCTCTGAGAAAAAAAAAGAAAAAGAGAGAAAAAGGAAAAGGAAAAAAAAGAAAGAAAATGAGGAAGAGAGAAAAAGAGAAAGCAAAAGAAAGTGAGAGTGAGAAAAAGACAAAGAAAAGAGAGGAAGAGAGAAAGAAAGCAAGAGGAAGAGAAAATAAGAGTAAGAAGAGACAGAAAGAGAGAAAGAATAACGAAAGTGAGAGGGAGAGAGGGGAGGGAGGGAGGGAGGGAAAGGAAGAAACTCAGTGTATCCTTTACTGGCCAAGGCCAAGCAAAAAACCCATTAGCTGAGTACACACCAGTACTCAGAGGAAACTGAAGTAGTCGATACACTCAAGGTCTGTCTGTTCCTACCATGTTATGTGAGTCAAGATGGAGAACCAATGCCACTGTCATCTGACCCACTGGCACTTTATATTTACCTCTTTCTGTTCTGGAGGGCTGCTCTGTGGTCGGGGGCAAGCAGCTGTCACGCCATTCAGCTCATCAAACGCAGGAACTTGGAATTCAGAGGCTGAAAGCAGGAGCTTGCTGACAGGTGGTTCTGTTACCAAGCAAGACTTCGGTACCAAGGCAGTGAATGCAGGCTCTAGTCTAGCACCACACAGAGAAAGAGAGAGAGAGCAAGTGAGATCCACCATTGTGAGTGTTTGCTTTCTACCTCTCTCACCTGTACCTTTTGAACATACAGACTAGAGCTAAAGACATTTCTTCTTCTCGTGAAGACATCTCCAGCAAACCTGTTTTCTAGTCCCTTCTGGTCAAAGTGTGGGTCAATATATGTCAAAAATTACAAGAATGTGGTCTATCCATTTGTGACATAAAGCCGTTTTATAAAGAAATGTGTAAAAAAAGAACAGACTTTGGGGAGAAGACATTAGTGGACTGAGCAAATGAACAGTGCTCAGATGAGATCAATCCCATTTGGGGACTAAAGATGCCTAAGTGACAAGACGTGAAATAGCTTAAGGGGTACTCTGGTAGAATAACCTGGCTAACTATTCATTTCTAAATAAACGGTAATGATTATTATACATCCCTAGTCACTACTGATAATGGAGCACACTTGACTCTCACAGATGTCTATCTCTAAGAGAAGTGGATTGGGGGGCAGGTGGTACCAGAGGGAGGGGGGAAAAGATGGGGAAATGGTGTGGGAGGGTGAATACAGTGCAAATACTGCATATGTAAGTGAAAAATGATACTTGTTGAAACTGCTCCAGGAATGTGAAGATAAAGGAGAATGGAGGGGATGAATTCAAGTTTGATATATTTGATACACTATAAGAACTTTTGTAAATGCCACAATGTACCCTACTCAACACAACAACTAAAAAGAGAGAGAGAGAAAGAAGTAGATCAGGTTTACAGGGACAAGAGGCCACAGCTGTGCCATACATGACCCCTGGCATCTATGAACATGTGTGCATGCTCTTCCTCACATACCTCTGTACCTCAAATCCTCGTGAGCCAGAAACCTACCTTATCTGACTGTTGCCAATGCTATTTGTTGTAGCTTCCACACCTGGAAGAGGCACATATGGTAACACGGTGTGGCTAAAATGAAGCAAAAGAACAAAAGTGACAGGTTAGGACAGTGTGACATCAGGAGTTCCTGACGTTACCAGGATGTCAGCATGTAGAAGTACCAGGAAAGATGAACAGCTCCAGCCATGAGACGGATACTATGTGCCCATCACTGGAATAGAAGTGGGCTGATGTATTGTGGTTAACTTAAAATCACCTGCAAGAGTACATGCAAAAGATTTCTTTAAAAATTTAAACAAAAAAATAAATAACTTGCACTACTTAGGTATGCATTAATTGTTAAAATAAAATTTGCCATTTTGTACAACCTTACAAAAATATATGGAAACATGAATGTGCTTAAAGTGCACATAACACATGGTTATGTAGAAGAAAACTTTTAACAGTATTGCTTTATTAGGATTTTATGTACTAATCACAGATACATTCATATGCAGTGTTAGACAACTTTTTGTGTCTCCCAAAGTAAAACTAGCCCCAGATTCTACTGACTTTAGAACATGACACTTTCATTAACAAGGCATCTGTGTGATGACCATACAACTTATCTCCTCAGAAATAAGAGGAATTTATTTAACAGCCAGAAAAAACAGTTCATTCAGGTTTCTAGGATAATGGTTAGTGCAAAGTCAGGGTTCCCCTGAGGAATACTGATAAAAGGAAGGAGAGGTGGAGTGGATCACTGGAATAAGAGCTGACCAAATCAGCAAACAGAAGTCCTTGGTTCTAGTTCTAGTGATTTTTTTTTCTTTGGGTGGTACTGGAACTTGAACTCGGGGCCTCACATTTATGAGGCAGATGCTCTACCACTTCAGCCACTCCTCCAGCCCCAGTTCTAGTTCAGTGGAAACCCTAAGCAGCTGGAATGGGGCTTAGAAAAAAGCACTCCTGTGCTGGATGTGATGGCACATACCTTAGTTCTGACTACGTGGGAGGCTGAGGTGGGAGGATTACTTGAACCAGAGTATGAGACCAGCCTGGGGAACAGAGGGAGACAAAGAAACAATGAGAGAAAAAGAAAGGAAAGAAAGAAGGTAAGAAGGACGCCTTCATGTGGCTCTGTCTCAGTATCCATAAAAAGGGCAAAAAAAAAAGAGATGCCTATCCAACCCGTACTATAGAGTGCTGGAGAATAAGGTTCAAGGGAGAAAATCTGACAGGTATGGCATACACCTGTAATTCCAGCATTCTGGAGGCCAAAGCCAGGAGGATTATGCGTTTAAAGTCAGCCTGGGCTGCACAGCAAGACCCCGCCTCAGAAAAACAAAAACAAACCACCACAAGGCACTGGTGGCTAATGCCTGTAATCCTAGCTACTTGGGAAGCTGAGATTAGTAGGATCATAGTTTGAGGCTAGCCTGGGCAAATAGTTGAAGACCCCATCTCCAAAAATAACTAGAGCAAAATGGACTGGAAGTCCATTTTGGTTCAAGGGGTAGAGCATCTGCTTTGCAAACACCCATTTTTGCAAGTGCAAAGCCCAAATTTCAAACCCTAGTCCCACAAAAACCAACCAACCAACCAACCAACCAAAAAAAACCAAACAAACAGCAACAAGACAAATCCTCTCCAAAAAAACCAAACCAAAACCAAAACGTGATAAAACAATAACAACAAAAACATCAACAGACAGAGAGAGAGATCTTTAAAAGAGAGAAAGAGAGAGAGAGAGAGAGACAGAATGAGAACAGTCTTTGGAAACAAAACTAAACATTATTTTGCGGTAAACAGTTTTAAGTGCCTTTAGAAAGACAGTAAACTATCTGAGCCCAGGCACACAATGTTAAGGCAGTTTTAGAACCAATGAGAAGAAAATGTCCCTATAAACCCCACTCCCTCACCTTCCTCTTGAATTTAAATAAAATAAAATAGAAAGGTACAAAATATTGTACAGAAGGAAGTGGAAAAGTCAGGTAGGAAAGAGTTCTGGGAAAAAAAAAGAAGGGCCAAAGGTTACACCTTCACAGGGTGAAATGAAATGAGCAACTCCCTGGACACCACACTCAGGAACGAACCCGTTAGGCCCCAGGTTCAGAACCCAGTGTGCACGCACGCACGCACACGAAAGGTGTGTACACACACACACACACACACACACACACACACACACACACACACAAACTAATGGAGAGGCTCACATGGCAGAGTGCCTGCTTAGCAGTGTGAGGCCCTGAGTTCAAACACCAATACCACCAAACAGAACGAGGAGAAGAGAGGGGAGGGCTGGGAAGGGGAAAGAGGAGAGGAAAGAAAAGAAGTAAAGAAAAGAAAGAGGACATTCAGGCTGGCATGGTTCAAGTGGTAAAGCTGTTGTCTAGCAAGTGTAAGGCTCTGAGCTCACAATCCAGTACTGCAAAAAAAGTTAAACAAACAAAAAAAGGAGAGATTCAAGCAACTTGATGGTGTGAAGAATAAAAAAGGAAAAAGAATAGTACAAAACAATCTGTGGGCAAATTAGGAGCCTCCATTCTCAAGAATTACTGTCGCACTTTCTTAGCAGAGATCTCACAAGGTAAAAAAGCAAGTGCAAACACAAGGGGGCCTCCAAATGTCCTTGCGTGTTCAGCAGTGTCCCTCTCCTCTCCCCAGTGACAGGAAGCAAACACAGGACATATGCAAAGAGCAGGAGAGTTTACCTGTTTGTGGTGCCCAGACTTGGCTGCTGCTTGCTCTGAGCGTAATGAAGAGCAGAGATCTCGAAGGAGCAGCAGGACGAGGAAGGCCCGTGCTGGCTCCAAATGGACAACACTCTGCCCACTGAGTAGGGCAGAGAACAGAAGACCTTGCTGGCTATGGAAGCTGGAGACCTTAACCCTTTGAGGCCCTGTGTAAACTGGGTCATGAAGAGCCTCTGCACAGTAGGCATGTGATTGGAGAAGCTCCGTTGTTTTGTCCAGATTCGGTAACATCCAGGGGAACAAAGTGCTAGAAGTGTGTGAAGGCCAAGGGCAGAGCAGTCTGCTCTGGTGTGGACTATGGCAGTGCCTCCACAGTCTTGGAGAGGAGCTGGAGTCTGTAGAGAAGCCTGAGTGTGTGCCTGACTGTGGAGGCCAGTGTCTTCCCTGAATGTGGCCATCCCCGGGCAACCGTGGGACAAAAAGAAAGAAAAGGTCCACTTGGGAGGTTGAGACGGGCTCTGGGGGGCCTCCCCTAAGGCAAGCCTCACTGGAGCGCAGTGCTCAGGAAAAGTCTTTGAGGGCTCAGTCATACAATTAGAGGCAGACTTCACGTTAAAAGAAACTGGGAAGATTTCGGAACCAAACAGCAGTGACGGCATCTTGTTGCTTAAATCTGTGAAGCTCATTTTGCTGGCTTCAAGAGAATAAAGTGCCCAGGGTTTACCGTTAGGCTTCTTATCCCATCTACTAGCTGCCAAATACGGATTCAGCTGCATTGCATTATACGAAAATCCATCTAGGAGCCTTTTATATCTGGGCCGCTTGTAGCTTTTAGCCACGGGAAGCAGTACCGAGGAACACCGCCGGTATCTGAGTTTCTGGGTCTTTGCGGATGGGGCTAGTTTGGAGGCAAGTATGGACAGCTTGTGTAGTAAGGCTGATTCTTTGGTAGGCTTCCTAAAACTCAGGCTCCTCAAGGGATGGCACAGAGCAGCCCTCTGCTTTGGTACGTGGCTAAGCAAGGTCCTCACAGGTACTGTTTCGGGTTCTAATCGTGTGGGCGCAGGCACGACACAGGAGCTAAGAAGTCTGTGTGCTCTGGTGGGGATGGGATCAAAGGAACTCTTTCCGAAAGCAGAATTCCTGATTTTACTTCTTTTTCTCCCCACACTGACTGGCTCCTGACAGGAAACTCTCTTGCACGTTCGATGGGGCTGCTTCTTTAAGGGAAGCATTCCTTTCTGACAGGAAGTATTCACAAAGGCACCACATTTTTGATCACAACCAGTGGAGTGGGGGTCTTGCTGTTTCCAGGGGGCACTGGGAAGACAAGGACCTGTACACAACCCAATGTCCTTCTTCAATGGATGACGTAAGCTTTCCTCCTCTGGGTCTTCTAACTTCTGAAACTGTCCAGCTGTGTTGCCCTTGACTGGCTTTGCTAGAGTGACTCCTTTCTTCATGGTGGATCCATCTTTGTCAGGGTTGGGCTGGTTCTTATTTTGCACCACATCTGACAACGTATTGGATGTACTCTGTTCCAGTATGACTTCTGCTCCTTTTTGATGTATATGTTTCTCTTCCTTTGGCAACATATCCTCCAAAACCCTCTGGCTTTGTTGTTTTTCAGTATTATCACACGTCCTCTGGCATTTCAGGTTGGTCTGAGAAACTTTGTGCAAGCTATTGCCATCATGACCTTCTCTGGTATTGCTCTCCTCAGATTCCTCCCCAGCAGTTAAGCAACCCAATGGTTCTTGGCGGTAAAGTTCTTCAGTTTCTCCTCCATTCATTTTAGTTGTGGGTTCCACTGTCAAAGGCAAGTGTCTACCAGTGGGATTCTCGAGAGGGTGACAGGCTCTGCAAGCATGCTTCTCCACACCGATGTGTGTGGCATCTCCTTTATCCCTTGGGACTGCTTCCGTCATCTCAGGCAGGACTGTGCAATCCTTTATGTTTCCACAAAGCACTTCACCAGCTTTAGGTTTAAAGACATTTTCCAGGTCAGTTTCTTCACTATCACTATCAGTTGAATTTTTTTGAGAAGACAGACACAAAAGCATTATCTCAATGGACTTCAGGTGCTGTGAGAGACTAGCGTTCTCATCTTGGCACCTAGAAGACATCAAGTCTTTTGAGGCTATCCCAAGGTTTTCTTCCTTGTCAAACTCAGAATCTCCTTCTAGTCTTGATCCTTCAGTCATTCCTTGGGTTTCTCTCAGAACTCCTCCTCTACCTTGACGTTCACGGTGAATGCAGTTTAAAGACATGCTCACTGCTCTATCCAGTATTGCTGTATTTGGTTCATGATCTGCAACAGACTCCATCTCTTCCACCTGGCCTATGGAAGGGTCTGGATGCTCTTCCACTGCACAGTCTTTTAAAGGTCTACATGCTTTCTGCCCTGCAGAAGCTGCAGTGTTTGGGCAATCTGAGTCCTTGCCAGTTGTTCCTGTAGGTACAGTATTCAGTTCTCCTCTCTGAGATGAGGTATTCCGTGGGGTTCTGTGGAATGCCAGTCTACCTTGCCTTGCAGCACTACCAAGTGTCCTAGATGCTTTCACGTCCAGCACACTTTTTGCAGGCTTTTCACTACAATCTGGATGGACCATGTCTTCCATACCCTCTATAGACTCTTCAGAACCAGAAACATTTTCAAAGGTTCCCTTGAAGTCTTTGTTTGGACTACCGGAAGGCAGTGGGTTATCATTACCTGAACTGACCAGCAGTTCCTTTTCAATATGGCCTACCTCTCTGTTAAGCTCTCTGATGGCCTCGCTCTGGTCACTATCCAGGACCTCCTCAGCTGGTTTACCTTCACTTCTGCATTCATCTGGGCTGTTCTGGTTGCTCTGGCAGTGAAGGACTTCATCTGCATTCTTACCAAGAGTTTCAACTCCTTGGTTCATGTTTTTAAAACTGGAGAACGTAAGAGTAGGAGACTGGTCCAAAAACCTTTCAGGACTTGGAATGTTTACAGACTGGTTTAGTTCTTTCACACAATCAGAGATACTGTATTTACAAGACACATTTTCTTTGGGCAATTCTGGTTCCTTTCCATCTATCCCTTCCCCACAGGGTTGGATGTGACTGGTGGTGTGAGTGGTTGTGTTGGAAGCTCCACTATCTGACACACGTGCTGTTTCATTTCTGATCTTAGGTCCTAGAAGCTGGTCTTGAGTTTCTCTTCCAGCAAGTTCACTCTTCTCTTTACGGGTGCTACTTTCTGCAGAGTCCTCTACTCCCTGGGAGTGGTGATCGCTATGCTGAAGTGCATTTTCACATTTTATTACTACAGAGTTAACTTTCAGGACGATTTTGCTAGGCGTTAAAGCAGCACATGCAGAACACATATTCTCTTGTAGTGCATTTTTCCTTACACAGTGACAGCTGGAGATACCCTGAGATTGAGCGTTTTTACATTCTGTGACAGAAACCTCCTGAGGAAAGCCAGCTGCTTCTTTTCTGCTTGAAAGGAACCCAGAATGTTGATCTTCTGTTTCTGGATCAGCCATTTCTTTTTTTCCTTCTAGGTTTCCTGGTTTGGTATTTAAGGTGGGGCTGTCTGAAGAGGCACCACAGGTTTTGCCACCTTGTGGAGAGATGTCTTTTGTTTTTGTCTTAATAAGAATGGTTTGAGAACCAGCAATGACATCTGCTCCATTCTCTAAAGGCGGGTGGTGGCTGTGTTGGGCATCTTTGCTTGATGCTAAAGGCATCCCTCCGTTTGTATTTAGTAGGGAGTTAGCTGACAATGTCATGTGATCTTGAGAATTAAGGGACACTTGTTGATTTAAAACACATTCGTATCCTACTTTGTTTATAACCAGTTCTTCTGCACAAGAAAGCTCACTCATCTCCTGGGCAACACTCTGTTCATCTAAATTTGAAGTACTTTCATGTGAAGTCTGTATAGCTTTTTCTGACCCAGGTCTGAAATCCAATTCTGGAAATAGTGGTAATTGAGCAATATCTTTCTTGGGTTTTAATACTTCATTAAGTATAGAACTTATCTGATTTTCTGGCATTAAACTCACAAGGGATTTTCTTTTAGACAGACAATCTTTACGTGTTGCTTCGTTTAACTGGGTCTCATCCTCCAGGTTTCCCTGGGCACTGACTAAGGAAAAATTTTCACTTAATATTTTGTGCTCCATAGTGGTTGTGTGTTTTGGCTCTTCAGTCTGCTCTGAAGAGGAAAAATCACTTTCCTCAGAACGTCTACCTACATGGCACACATTAGTGACAGTTCTTCTATGGACCTCAGGGTTTACTAAGTTACCTCGAATGTCTAAAGTGATTTTCAAATCATTTTTTTTAAACATTATTTCTGTGGCTTTAGTAAAAGAATTGGGCATTAAAGAACTAGAGCTTTCTGTATGGCTACTGCCTTGGATGCAATAGTTACTCTGGATGTTTTCTTTTGGGGAATCAGCAATCTCTTTTTCACCAGAACAATGACCACTGACATCCTTTTCTGGTTGTCTGGCATTAGTACAGAAGAGTTCCTCTCTGTCACCTCTGGGATTCAAAGGCTGTTTTTTACTTTCTTCTCCACAAGCCAAGTTCTTGTGTTGAACATCCTCATCAAAATGGGAATTGTCCGTCTTTTCAGCAGATCCCTTTAGCAAACCATCAGTTTCAAATCCACATTTTCCTAAGGATGATGTTTGGGATTCTGGAACAGACAAATGTGGTGTGAAATATGAAATTCCAGGATTTTCTTCCAAGGGTTTTATAGCATCTACATTTCCAGTAGGTGTGGGTCTGTCGGGCGCAGAACTGTGTTTCTCACTGTGGTGGCTGAGGATCGCTTGGTGATTGTCATCTGCTTCACACACAAGGGTTAATTTACACAACTCTTTCTTCCCATTGTCAATTTTGGAAATGGCACTGTTTCCTGGTAATAATGACAGCCAAGAGGGACAAGTTTTTAATTCTGCACATTCTTTTTCTTCAGAAGTCGCTTCTGTTAATCCAGGGTCCACAGAGCTTAAAGGCTCTGAGGTAACTGAAGTTTCTGCTTCTGAAACCTCACCACTGGTCATGATTTTGTGTACTCCTGGGGGTTTGTTGCACCTGGCTGAGAAACCGTTGCTCACAGTGCCAGTCTTGTGTCCTTCGTTATTATCCATCTTGGTTCCATTCACCTTCATGCCCTGTGCATCTTCAGTGGATTCTGGCAGAGTTTCTGTTGTAATCTGTACATTTCCTTCTACACAAGAGAAACAAATCCAAATCAGTATGCAATCATAAAAAAATTCCGCTCTACCTTCGTCAATTTCATCATGCAACCAATGACAACAACAACAAAACCAACTCAAAAAGAGAATCACAAAGTTAGTGTGCCATCCTGTTGATTTTGATCTTCTCTGCAAAACTGTTAAGTAGCCAAAACTTTACCTGACAGAAGTGGGCATTTTGAAAAACTCCCTTTCTTTAAATGTTACTTGTCATTAATAGATGAACATGGAGTCACACACCTAATTTAGAGTCTTAAGAAGTTTCCAATTCAAAACGCTAACAGAGTAGATTACAATATTAGAAGACCATTTAAGACTTGAACTTAGATATATCATAAATAAAATTATTCTTTGAAATCTGGGTGCTGGTGGCTCATGCTTGTTGTAATCCTACCTACTTGGGAGGCTGAGATCAGGAGTACTGCGGTTCAAGACAAGCCCGGGCAAGTAACTTCGTGAGATCCCATCTCCAAAAATAAACAGAGCAAAATGGACTGGAGGTGTGGCTCAAGAGGCAGAGCACCTGCTTTGCAAGTGCAAAGTCCTGAGTTCAAAACCCAGTCCCACCAAAAAAAATTATTCTTTGAAAAAGAAGTTACACACAGAACTATATATAAGAGAGATTAATCTGTAAGCTGAATAGTCTTGAACCCAATTATGTGCAATAATTACCTTTCTACAAGATTTAGCTGATAATTACTGAAGCTGAGTGACAGGCATGTGGAAATTTAGTACATGCTTTATTTTTGAGTAAGTTTGAAAACTGCCATCATAAAGCATTAGTAGCAAACAAAAAAATCTTTATTAGCAGAATGTAAATGCAATTCATTAAGGAGTTTTACTACAGTTTCTCTGAAACCGTAGATTTAGGATGCAGTATAAAGCAGCTCCCCAAATGTGTTAATCTACACACACAAGTATTTTCATCTCCTTTCCCTATCAGAAAATAAGTCCAAAGCTATACACATACATATGTGTGTGTGTGTGTTGGGTGTGCATATAACAGGATACTGCACTAAACAGACTTAACGCAAAGCAATCTAAAGATCTAATTCTGGCAGGAACAGGACCTTACTGGTTTTATTCTCTCTTCATCCCTACTGTCCAATATAATGTGTGGTATATAACAAAACTCATAAATATTTGTGGAATGAATGAATGAATGCAGTTAGGTCATATCAGCAGATGTTATCAATAAGCAAATGTTATCAATAGTTTCTAGGGCTCCTCTATCCACTTCCCAATAGGTAACAAGCAGCAATTACTGAAAGAGAGAGAGAGAGAGAGAGAGAAAGAGAGAGAGAATGAATGTGCTACGAGCAACTCTGAATCCCCTTGACTCTGGGATACTTACCTATCTGAGTCTCAGTTTCCTCCTTTGTGAAAAGTGTGGTAAGTACACTTACCTTACTGCTATAGTGAGGATTAAATTACACAATACACATAAAACACTACCTGGTACAGTACAGTACCTGCCATATAAAGGAAAGATATCTTAGCTTTCTTTAATTTTCTTATTTTACTAGACCTGAGAATCACTCCATGTTATCTAGCTTGGAGCAGCACTTAGAAATACTTAGAGGCCATCCATTTCTCCAGCAGCCAGGAAGGACGTCAGCATGAAGGACAGTTACCACCATGGCTTCCAGTGTATTGCCAAAATCTCAGATGCAGGATCTCTGGCCAAGTGTCTGCAGATTCCTACTGTTAGAGCATTCACTGTCTCTCTGGGGGTTGCGGCTTCCTATAAAAATTTCTTTGGATTAAGTTCCACAGAACTTTGTAATGGACCTGTATCCCTAAATTATAAAACATGAATACCTGGGCTACAGAATACACAAAACAGTTTCTCTTGATAAATTACTAACAAATACTGTGGACAGTATAAAAAAAAAAAAAGTGCTGGGCGTTTACGCCTATAATCCAAGCTACTCAGGAGGCAGCGTTCAGAAGGATCATGGTTTGAAGCCAGTCCAGGCAAATAGTTTGGGAGGCCCTACTTGAAAATACCCATCACAAACAAAGGCTGGTGGCTCAAGCAATAGAGTGCCTGCTTAGGAAACATGAGGCCTGGAGTTCCAACCCCAATACCTCCTCCCTCCCCCCAAAAACAGAGTATGAACTAGAAATGTAGTTCAATGGTAGAAGGCTTGCCTAACATGTGTAAAGTCTGGTGTGATCCCTAACATTACCAAAAAACAAACAAATAAAAAAACAATCAATTACTTCTTTTTTGGGGCGCTGGGCATCAAATGCAGGGACTAGCGCGTTCTAGGGATGTGCTCTGCCACTGCACTCTGCTCCTAGTCCTCCCAAGATGCAGAGAGCCAGCAAATACTAGATGGGTACACGTACAGTGGATGCCAAAAGTCTGCACAGACACCAGTCACTGACAAAAGGCAGGCTCAAAATTCTCATTCCTACACAGTACTCATCGCTGTGAAACTGGCCTGCCTTACACATCATAGCAGGCCATGCCACTGTACCTGTGAATTTCTCAGTAGGACTCCACGTGGTTTTATAGCACTCACTAAGCCATATGCCCCAGCACCATCCTTGCTGTACCCCTCACCGTATCTGCTGAGGAACACTGTAAATCTTTACCCATTCTGCTGACTGTGGACCAACTCTGTGCAAGGCACTGAGTCTAGACTTCCCCGCAGAGCCCTACCTGCTGAGGAGCACCCACTTACCACTTCCTCAAGAGTCTTGGGGAGGAGGTGGGGGAGCACCCACTTCCCAGGCGATGGAGCATAAGGTTGGGAGGGGAGGAAGAGCTGTATATAGCTACAAAGCAAAACCATACTCTGCCTGTTCTTCTGGCTTATTTTTAACCACATATATTTTGAAATTTCAGAGAACTTTAAAGGAGAGTTTGAGGAAATTTTATTCCTACTATGAAGTTTTCAAAACTGGATCACAGGCCTGGTCTTCATCTGTAATACATGGATAAAGATGGTACACACTGCATAAAATTATTATGAAGATGAGATGAATCGGTAAATGTAAAGCTCTTACAAGTGTCAGGGAACACATGCTCCATGAGTGCTAGCCACTCTTACTACTTCTTGCATAACAGCTCTAATCAAAACCTCTGTTAATACTATCTCTCAATTATTTAACACACCACTTCTACCCGACACAGTGGCACATACCTGTGGTCTCGGCTACTCAGGAGGCTAAGGCAGATGGATTGCTTGAACCCAGGGCACCACAGTGAAACTCTATCTCCCAAAAAAAAGAAAGATACTTCCATAAAACTGAAGGGATTTATTTAAGGACACAAATGAAATCTATTTTCTTCCATTAAAAAAAGGAACAGCTCACAAATTTGCATGTCATCTTTTGCATCCTCTGTATTGTTCCAAATTTAGTGTCAGAAAGAAAATCATGGTGATTGCTGAGGAGTCAGTACCTGACAATGACCTTGACCATGGCGGCATATGTGAACGGTGACTGAATGAAGAGGTAGAAGATTAGGGAAGGTGACACACGTATAAGGTACGCTGGACAGTGAAACATGTATCTTGTGAGGTATGGACCATTTTAGAAGTTTAAGACTTCTGTGAACTAAGCTGAAATTCTGAGAAGTCTACATTTATAACCATTTGTTTAAAAAGTATATCTATGCTGGCGATGTAACTCAGTGGTAGAATGCTTACATAGCATGCATGAGGCCCTGGGTTCAATCCTCAGCATTGCAAAAAGAAAAAAAATTAAAATAAGTCAAAAGTTTTAAAAGTAGTTACATTTTAAGAAGCTGACAAACTAACCCTAAATTTGTATGAAATTCAACTGACATATAATAGCCAAAACAATCTTGAAAAAGATCAAGGTTGATAGACTTTTACTTCCTGATTTCAAAACTTGCTTTAATGGTACATTATCAAAACAATGTGGCACTAACATTGGATAGAAATAAACTTTTTTTTTTTTTTGAGGTACTGGGGCTCCCGCTTACTAGGCAGGTGCTCTATCTACTCTGAATCTTAAACATCCTCCAAACATCCATGTGTTAGTACTCCTGAGATGGCAGAGCCTTGAGGTGGCGAGTCCTGGTAAGAGAAGTGAGGTCACTTGGGGCATACCTTCAAAAGGGATTATTGTAGCCCAGGCTCTTTCTCCTCCTCTCTGTTTCCCAGCCACCATGAGCTAAGCAGTTTTACGCTATCAAATTCCCACCAGGACGTGCAGTCCTAACAGAGACCCAAAAGCAATGGGGGTGATCAGACAGAACCTCAGCAAGCTGCAAGCCACAATGAACCTTTCCTCTTTTTAAATCGATTGCCTCAGGTGTTTGTTATAGTAACAGAAAGCTGAGCAACAAGAGTCCAGAAATAATCTCTAATATTTATGGTCTATCAACTGATTTTTGACAAAAGGATGAAGAACTTCATGCCTGGTGTAGTACTTCAGGCCTGCAATCCTAGTTACTTGGGAGGCAGAGATTGGGAGGATTGAGGCTTGAGGACAGCCCAGGCAAAAGATTTGCGATCAGTAGAAGTTGGGCATAGTGGTATGTGCCTCTCATCCCAGCTACACAGGAATGGTAAATAAGAGAACTGTGGCTCAGGCCAGCTAAGTATAAGGCAAGCTCCTATCTCAAAAATAACCAAAGTGGCTGGGCACCCGTGGCTCATGCCTGCAATCCTAGCTACTCAGGAGGCAGAGATCAGAAGGATCGTGGTTCAAAGCCAGCCCGGACAAATAGTTCATGAGACCCTGTCTTGAAAAACCCCATCACGAAAAAGAAAAGGGCTGGTGGATTGGCTCAAGGTGTAGGTCCTGAGTTCAAACCCCAGTACCACACACACACACACAAAAAACCAAAAACCCAACCCAAAGTCTGGTAGAGTTGTTAGAAGTACCTTTAAGACACTAGGGTGTCACAAGAGAGACAATACTACTCACAAGTCAACAGGCAAGGCAAAATTTCCTTCTGCAGAAGGGTGCACACCAGGAAGTCTGGGAG